GTCTACAGAAGTAACCACTTCTGGCCGGGCACAGTGGCTCACTCCTTTAATCTCAGCACTTTGGGAGGCTGAGGCAGGTGGATCACCAGAGGTTGGGAGTTTGAGACCTGCCTGGCCAACATGGTGAAAGCTTGTTTCTACTAAAAATACAAAAATTATCTGGGCGTGGTGGTGGGTGCCTATAATCCCAGCTACTCAGGTGGCTGAGGCAGGAGAATCACTTGAACACAGGAGGCACAGGTTGCAGTGAGCCGAGATTGTGCCACTGAATTCCAGCCTGGACAACAGAGTGAGACTCTGTCTCAAAAAAAAAGGAAGTAAGAACTGCTGATCTTTTTTCCCATGTAGATTCAAAGAAAAAAAACCTCCCATCTTCCCATCTTCTAACGGAACAGGGTTAGCAGAACCAAGTTTTGAGTCCTGGGTGAAAATCCAGGGAAGAATGGTAATCAGTTACAGCCAATGACAAATCCAATATTAAAATTAGTTGATAGTGACCCATCTTATTTCACTTACCCCACCCAGAGTGGCCCAAAGCAGATTGCTAGATCTGTCTCCAAACCAACCTTCTCTCTAAAAGAATTGGGGTTGGGTTGTGTCTGCTGATTGTCTCCATAATTTGAGATTTTAACAAATGGAGTTTGGCTCCCAAATACCTTAAACGATTTTTTGTTGTTGTCTGTGGGGAGGGGGAGATTGGACCTAGGCAACAAAACAGGAATGGAATAAGAAAAGATTTATGTTCTCTGAAGGAGACTTGTGAGATCTAATTCCAACTTGCTGAGGGAGAAAGAAAAAGCAATAGACTTCAAGCAGAAAACATGAGTTTGAGTGTCTGCTGTGCCATGTAGTAGTTTGTGTAACTCTCATTTGTAAAATGGAAATAGTATTTACACTTTCATGGGTTGTTGTGAGGGTCAGAATAGATTGTGTACATGACAGTGCTTTGTATATGCAGACAGAAGGAAGAAGGGGGCTGTTATTGGCTCAACTTACTTGACCTTTATTTTTATCATTATCATCAGCCACTATTTTATGTCAATCTACTGTGCAGTGAGCAAGCAGTAAACTTAGGAAGCCAGGAGTATGGGAACGTGATTAGCATCATATGCCACATATGCTTCCATCCAAAGCACATGAACAGAGTATTAAATTACAAGCCTATCGGGAACAGACCAGCTATCTGCCTCCCTTTTTATTAATACCATGTCCCATGAACTCTGTATTCATGTGGAGTTTCAAGTGCATGCTTGGGAGTTATGAGGAGACAGCCTGGTATGTTCAGGAAAGAAAATAATGATTAAGTGCATGCTGGGCTTTGGCTCAGCCATTTGGGCAAATGACTTAATCGTTATTTTCTTTCCTGAACCTCAGTTTCTGTTTCTACGAAGTGGAAATGGTAACACCTACCTTCTTCAGATTGTCATGAGAATTAAATGAGAAGATGAATGTAATGCCCTTGAGCACAGAGCGTGCTACACCACAAATGCTCAGTCAATAAGCAGTGATGACAGTATAGGCAACTACCACTAGAAGGAGAATCTGAACATGTCCCAATTTTAATTTTGATTCCTAATCAAAGTCCAGTGAATTTAATTATAAGTAGCAGAAAAGAAGATTAAGAGTTCCTTTCCACAGCTTTATTAAGTTTTTATATTCACCTGGCTGTTGTCAAAAGTCACTTGATCATTTAAGAGATATAGGGACATGTGGCTTCTAGTTTGTGTGAGAGCTTTTCTCTCCCCATCAGCTCAACAGTCAGTCCCCAGATCTAGAGATGGAGAGCTTGGGACAAGGTCAGAATGAAACATCACGAGGCAATCCTGCTTAACAGGTAACTCTTGCAGCAGTGCTTAAAGGAAAGGGGTACAGTCTCTTCATGTTTCCATGGTAAAGTCCATAGCTGCTGCTTCTTCCACAAAATATTTCATGGAATAAGCAAACAAAGCCCATATTGTAAGATGGGAGTGGCAACAACACTTTCAGACTTGGCTCCTGCACATCTTGATGTGTAAATTCGGCATGATACGGCAAAAGCATGCCACTCTACACTAATGCTGCCCTCTCACTAAATTAAACCCTGGAAATATAAGATGTGGCTTGGCTTTAAAACTCAGTGAGCCATCTTTATGGTACAGTTGGTTTGCACAGCTGTAAACAGAAAGATCTATAATTTGTGCCTACCCAGGATGGTCTTGTCTCTAGACAATTTCTTGATGATGCAAATGTTCTGGAACTAAATAGTGGTGATGGTGGCACAACAAAGTGAATGTATGTATTTATGTATGTCACTGATTTGTATGTATTTAATGGGAATTAAATGTTAAAATGGTGAATTGTATTTATGTATATTTTACCATAGTAAAAAGATGCATTGGAAGATGCATTTTTGTGACCCTGAGTTGTAACTATTTTTCTTTGTGATATGTATATACTACCTACCACATAGTAAGCCCTGATGTTTGAATGCCTATATGTATATCTGCTTTTTGCAAATCTCTGGTCTGAGTGTTCTACTCTGTAGCATTTAGGTATCACCTAGGGATATGTGATTTATTGACATCCCTGCTTTGGGTGGGATTAAGAACTGTACTGACCAGGGCCAGGCACGGTGGCTCACACCTGTAATCCCAGGACTTTGGGAGGCCAAGGCGGGTGGATCACGAGGGCAAGAGATCGAGACCATCTTGGCAAACATAGTGAAACCCTGTCTCTACTAAATACAAAAAATTAGCCGGGCATGGTGGCACATGCCTGTAATCCCAGCTACTTGGGAGGCTGAGACAGGAGAATTGTTTGAACCCAGGAGACGGAGGTTGCGGTGAGCCAAGAATGCGCCATTGCACTCCAGCCTGGGCAACAAGAGCAAAACTCCGTCTCCAAAAAAAAAAAAAAAAAAGAACTGTACTGACTGCATGAGCACATACATTTCCTTATAAAACTGTTTTGCTTTAGCACGTATTTGCCTACTGTAGAAAATTGTCCTACCCATAGGGCAGGCTGGGAATGTGATGTGTATCTGCCTTCTCCAAAGGCATTGTATGGCTTTCTTAATGGATGGCAAACAGGAGAGAGAAAGGAGTTCTTCAAGAGTACAACTGAATCAGTTCCTGAGATTCTTCTTTCAGCCAGCTCAGCCTCCATCACAGGACTCAGGACTCTCAGTTCTTCTAGACAAAGACAATATTGTTCTTTTATAAAGCAAAGATTTTGAAAGGTAGCAGGTCAAGCACAAAGTACAAAGGAGAAAGGGGTAGCTGGGGAAAAACTCACAAAAGAGACTGTTTCTGCCGGAAGTCCTTGAAGCAGAGGATGTTGAATATCTCCAAAAGAAAGGCTTCAGCAAAAGCCAAGGAAGCATCACACTGGTCAAGACTGGCCCTGGCAAACAGGGAAGGATGGCCTTGAACACTGTGATAGAGGAAAATGCTTTATGGACAATTTTTTCTCCAGCCAGCATATTGCAGTTGCTCTTGCTATACCGTATCCTTCCAGAAACATGAAGGCTTGTGAAAGATAAGCAAGCCTATTATGGCCACTGCGACAAGGACCAGGGAGAACAGAACCATGAGGAAGACATAGGTGGAGTGGGAGAGAGGTGCAGACAATGGTTGCTCAGCTGGAATCATGTTGGTCAGGTTCAGCATGTAGCCCAAAGTCCAGCCGGCGTCGCTGCCCTGGATCTGCAAACAGCGGGGAAAGTCTTGTTTGTGGTTGGAGGAGTTAGAAGAGTTATCACCTAGGGCTTACAATTATTAGATCATGCATTGGAAGAGTTCAAAAAATATAAATCACTGGCTGGGCACAGTGGCTCATGTCTATAATCTCAGCACTTTGGGAGGCTATGGAGGGAGAATCACTTGAGGCCAGGAGTTTGAGAGTAGCCTGGGCAACATAGTGAGACCCTGTCTCTCCAAAAAAATCAAATTAGCTGGGCATGGTGGAACATGTCTGTAGTCTCAGCTATTTGGGAGGCTGGGTGGGGAGGATCAGTTAATCCCAGGAGTTGGAGGCTTCCTTCATTGAGCTGTGATTATACCACTGCACTCCAGCCTGGGTCACAGAGTGAGACCCTGTACCTTTTTAAAAAAAAATGTATACTCACACACATATCATGACTGCCTAGTGTGTCAGTCCTAAATTTTGACATAAGTATAATGCTTCAAACAAATAAACTGCTGGAATTAAAGGAAGTCTCAAATACTATAACAAGGAAAAGATTTAAGTTTGAATTAGCAAGATCAGTACCGCCAAGAATGTAATGACACTATTACCCTCAGGGCTGTTACAGCCCTTTCCCTCAATGCTTTGTCGTGCTTGAAATCACCATATTTAATATAGGGGGTGAAATGTTTTCCCCACTAGTGAGCATGGGCTTAAAAAGGTAGAGACACGCTGCTCTGGGTGTTTTTGGTCAAGCATGAGTCACTCAGCTGGGTTCTCTATTCCTAGATGCCTGCAGGTGGTGCTATGGTAAAGCACAGCACTGAGGTTGCTTCTTCAGGGTTCATGCTAACGCTGGCTTCTAAGCAATGGTCTCATCATTCACAGCCACTCAGTCCCCTTCACACAGAGCTTTCAAATTGGTCAACCTTGAAGTAATAAGCAACAAGGATGATGAAACAATGATCATACTTTCCTAGCTTATGGAAGGGGCCTTTCAGAGGGCTGTTGAAGTCAGCACACAGAGTCACTGGGGCTGCTAAAATGCTGTTACTTTAATATCTCATTTTGTGTTTTGTTTTGTAAGGAATTAGTCACTGTTATGTGGGAAGGTGCAACTGAGAATGCAAGTAGCTGTCCTTAGAGAGGATGCTCACAGTGGGCCAACAGACCCAGGAGGGCTTGACACAGAATGCCAGGGTTAGAAGCAGCACGATAGAACAGAACATCCGGCCAAAGCCACACCAGGCTGCCTCCCACCTCTTCCAAGCCCCAAAGTGCTTCAGTCACTACCACTGAACCCCAACTTTCCCCAACCCAACAGGCCCCCAAATTACCTTGCCAATGAAATGGATGTGCTCCCAGGAATCAGCCGTGAAATGATAGCCTTGCAGAAGGAGGGAGAGGATGTAGGTACCAGAAAAGCAGTATTCACTCAGGTACTTCTCCTTTACTCCAGTGAAAGATGTTTTTATCTAGAAGTAAAGTGAAGGAGAGATTATATTCTTACAATAGGCATCTCTCTATGACCCTCTTTTTCTTTACTAGACCTGACGAAGAGAAGGGAAAGCCCCCAGTCTGGTGCACCTGAAGGTTGGCCTCTTCCAGAGGCGAAGGGAAAGCCCCCAGTCTGGTGCACCTGAAGGTTGGCCTCTTCCAGAGGCTTTGCGGGTGGTGCTGCACTCCTTCAGTGGGAGCAGGGTTCTATAGTTTAGAGTCTCTTAAGGAAGCTTTTCCTGCACAGGCTTCTATGAGATAATAATAGGTCCTCGAGGAAAAAAAGTAGTTCCTGTGGTCTAGTAGGTTCCAAAATACTAAATTTTAGTACCTCTCTTCATCCCCTAAACTTTGTTTAATCTGAGTTTTCTATATGCTCTTGACCACAGCCTTTGGCCCAGAGCCCCTATGAGCATCTTAACAGTGTCATAAAAAGCCTTACCACTCAGTTTAGTCCCTGGACTGGCAGCATCAGCATCACTTGGGAGCTGGTTAGTCCTCACCCCAGAAATATCAATTCAGAATCTGCATTCCAATATGATTCCCAGGTGTTTTATGTGCACAGTAAAGTTTGAGAAACCCAGCTCTGGAACACCATTTAGGAAGCATTTTGCTGAGGACTGCTAGCAGTGCCCAACATCTCACCTTCTGTCTTCTGTCTTAACGTCTTGCTTTGCATCTGAGTCATGCAAAGTGGTTGTTTCCTTGAGTCCTTCCTGTGTTTACTCATCCTATTCCCTACTAAAAATATTAACAGCTGCCTGCCATCCCTTGCCCTTACCTAGCCTAGCTGTTGTGAATGTACACCTGCATACCCACAGCCTGCTCTGTTCATCTCCTGCCCTCAATTTGAGGACAACAGGCCAAGACCTCTCTATATTCAGCTTGGACTTCTGTCTGCTGCCCTATTCTCTGCCCTTCAGATAGGCATTCCCTCCTGAACACCCTTGGCAGAGAGAGAACATTTGTTATGCATGCATCATGTACCATCTGGAACTATGGCAGGTGTTTTATATGCAGTATCTCCTGGATGCCTAAACCATACCCCTCTTTTCCCAGATTTCTCTCCCTCCCGTGGGTTATCCCTGTGCAAATTCTAACTGCTGGCTGGGTTCTGTTTCTCACTTGGTTCCTGCCTGCCCCCCGTTTCTGGAAGGATAAGTCCATAACCAGACTGCCTTGTCTTGCTCTGATGAAATTCTTAGAATGACCCAGCTTGGAACTTGTCTTTTCAGCACAGTTTTGGAAATTACCCTGTGATTGATTCCTCTGCATGTGACATCCTCTTGAGACCTTGGTGTGGACATCAGTTGACATTGCCTGTCCAGGTCCCTCCCCTTCCTTTCAGTCACTGCATTCTGCTTTCCCTTTGTGGAAAGACCTCATCCCCATCAATGTTGTCTTGGTGGGCCTGTCAACTGAAGGATGCCTATGGGATACAAAATCCCAAGAATTTACTTAGGTCCAACTTGAAAGTGCTGAGCCCCTGTAGGTCCTTGAAGGCTGGCCTATCCCTTGAAGGGGACTGGGAGATGCAATTTGGGCCTAATTTCCCTGAATTATTCAATACCCCTATTCCCATCCTCTTTCTGACAAGCAGTACATTGGCTATGCAGTCTGGCCTCCTGAACGTTATGACAGTAGCCAAAAATATAGAAGCCAAAAAGGCATCCACCTTCTTCATCAATCCAGACTGATCATGCTCATGCCTGTGGGTGGATTCATTACTATGTGCTCTCCAAACTGGGAGGGGAGGCCACACTCCTCTCTCTCTCCCACCTTCCTCTCTCCCTTCTCTCCTTTCTATTCCCAGGACAGTGGAACATGATGAGGTCCTCTTCCCTTCATGGATATCCTCTTTCCGCCCTCAACATAAAGGGGCATTGACAGATCTTCAAGAATGGGACAGCTTTCTCTAGAAAGGCTAAATATTCATGAAGCTGAATGTGCCAATCCAGAGTACACTGAGATATAACCAGTCATCAGTACAAATAGAATCTGATCACATTGTTCTCATGGGCTGACCAGATCTTGAATGACCAGATTTTCAGAGTAGAAGAGTGGCTGTCTTCTGGTTGCTGAAAGATTCTACTAGCCTTCTAATGAAGCTGCCGGAAGACAACTGTGGAGTGTCCCTTCCACTTACTCTCCTAGTCTCTCCACTTCAGAGACACAATTACTTCAGGCACCTGACTGTCAGCAGATATGGTTTGCATTTTATTTCCCTTGCCATAGCAGGGCAGGCAGCATATGATATGATATGCATAAAGCACAGAAAGCAAACGTCCACCACTGTCAACCCCACAGTACATGCTTAAACATTGTTAATTCTCTCTCTACCAAAGGTGGTTAGAAGGAGTATTCCCAAGCACAAGCCATACTGGAATAGCAGTCCTTTCCTATGGTGAAGTTAAGAGGTAAAAAAGAGTCACCTCCTAACAATGTACTCGACAAAACTATGCTTTTTGCCTGGGTGGACGATGCAGCTTGGGAAGATGAACTCTGTAGGCTCTGGGTGAGGACAGGGGTCTAACCCTGCAGCCCCTTCCCCAAATGCTTCAGGAATCCTCCCAAATGCAGGCCCTGCTTAGCTTATTTCTGGGGCTTCTGAACAATTCCCCATGTGACCTACCTGAACAGACCTACAGGTCTGCATATAAGTATTCCTAGCCTAATATAATCTGATGGAGTAAAAATTTAGATGTTGATAAGAGAGGAAACCCGACAGAACTTCTAATCTAAACCATACGTCATTTTTTTTTTTCAAAGAGCAGCATAAGTCTGCTTTCTCAGCAGCCACACATAGGCCTGGTCTCAAATGCCTCCACTCCAACATGCTTGTCTTCCTCCACAGATTACCGCCAGCTGCCAAAAACCACCGCTAAGCATTTTGCATAGTTCTGAGACATATTTGAGCAGCTCTTGCTGAAGGCCCTGACCACATTTCTTTTATGTTCTAGATAAAATACCTGGAGAGAATGCCAAGCTTCCAGGCTCTTGCTCAGCCTTTCTTCCCCCTTGTCAGTGCAGACAGGGATAATCATCTATTTTTAATTAATGGTATTTCTTAAGAATGAAAACACCATTCACTTTTGCAATTGTCAACTTAAAAGCAGCTGCTGTTCTGAGCTATGTCTTTTATAATCAGAGTGGATCCCATGCCTCTCATCCCTGGATTTTCATCCTGTGGCACTGGATGTTAAATGGCTCAGTGCCTTGATAAGAAAAAAATTGTGCTTCAAATTTATGAATAAACAGGAGATATCTTGGACCTGGGGGAAATGCAGAGGATTTTATCACAATGGTGTCTGTGGCAGACTCTTTGAATTGCCTGCTTTCTTGCTAATAGAACTCTGATTTGGGGGTTGGAGGAGGGGAGTAGGCCACAATGTGCCTATCCCAAGGCAGCGGCTCATGATAAATATAAGTCTCTAAGCCAGTGACAAAATTCAACACCTGGTTTTCCCAGTCAATCCTGGCCATTGAGATATAAGGGGAAGACTGCTGAGTCTGGGATAGATTTTGCTTTCCTGTAAAAAGGAACAAATGTATCTGGTTCTATCCCTTTTCTGATCTTTCTGAACATGGCTGTGATGTGTGAAGCTACAGCCACCATGTTGTGTCCATGAAGAAATAGGCACAACAGCAGAGCTGAAGAAGCAATGGCTGAGATAGAGCAGAGCTGCTGACCCCATGTCAGCAACTGCCTACTGCCAGACTTTGTATTAGGTGAGAAATAAGATCTTATTTAAGCCACTGGATGTCAGGTTATTAAGGAATGCTGACAAATTCATTCCTGAGTCCACCATCTGGTCTTCTCTAACACATTTGCTGGATCTTGGTCAAACCAGCAGGAGTTTAAGAGCAGACTCACATCCTCTGCACCAGCAAGGGTACAGGGCACTCATGCTGTTATAGCTGCTGCCCCTAGTCACTTACCTCCTCCCAAGGCTGTGAGCAGAACTTTTTCATCATCTCAGTCACCTTTGCCTGAGAGACTTTCTCTGATGTGAAGTTTAAAAAATTCATCACAAAGTAAAAAGCTGAAAATGCCTACGAGAGAAAAATTGCAGTTTTAGACTATGTTCCACACAGAGGAATGCCAACTTGCTCTCCTAAAAGCTGTATCTTTTGTGCAGGTGCCTGGAAAGTTCTACTGAGTAAATTAACACACAAAGTGATATTGCAGGCCCAAGAACTGTTTCCTTCCTGGAAGAGGAGCCACTGTGCTGCTGACACACATTTCTAAGCCAATTGGCAGTTACTTTTTTCCATAACTGTAATAGGAGAGTCAGGAGAAAGAAAACTGGGGAAAGAGAATAAGAAAAGGAGAAAAAGGTGTTACAAAAATCCCATTTAAAAATACTATGCACTATATATGAATGTTTAATAAATATATAAAACTGGAAAATTCTATACAACATGAGTTATCTCTGCAGAATTTTTTTCCTTGTGCTTATTTTTTGCCTATTTTCTATAATGAATATGTACTGCTTTCCTTTAAAAAATCCATCTTTATTCAACAAATTTATTGCAGGTCTACTATGAGCCAGGTGCTATTTTAGACACAGCCAAAAAACTGCTTTAAATTATTATCATCATCATACATGAGAACTATAGAAAAAAGTTTAAAACAAACAATAAAACAATTCATTAAACAATTTTCTGTTTTTTATTGTTTTGTTTTAAAACAATAAAACAATTCATTAAAATGACCTCTAAATTCTACTACTTAGTGACAACTGCTATTAAATATAGTATGTAGGCTTCTAGCATTTTTTCATTCTATGATACATATATAATTTTTCATACCACCCTATAACTGCCTTTTTTACTCTTTTAATAGAGCATGAATTTAAAGGGGAAAAAATAACTGAGCAGAGCTTGCTGGATGAGAGACAATTCAAACCCCAACTCTAGTGCTTTTCCTCTTTCCTACCCCAAAGGGTGCCAGTTTTTAGGAGAATTCATGTTGGAAATTAAAGGAGCACATCATTTGTTCATTTAGTAAACACACTGAGCTCTGTATGCTAGGCACTGTGCTGAGTCATAGTTTATTGGGATTATTTGAGGGGAGCATAAAGTTTTCCCTGTGACAACATGGTTCAACTGGGGATTATAATTTACCTTCTGTAAAATTACTTAACTAGAAGTGAATATAGAAAGAAAATGTGATTCCCAAAGTGTAATTCTCATAGGTAAAGAAACAAGAGTTTTGGTGGGCAAAGAAACAGGAGGTAGCAGAGATCCCACTGGGGGTGCACTGTGACTCAGATGAGGGAAAATAACCTCCACTAGGAAATTTCCTGCTGCAAACAGGCTGTAGGCCTCAGTTCCAGCTGACATAAACCCAATGCCAGCTTCTTAAAAGTTGCATTTTTTAGTATTCTTATATATATATAACATGTATCTAATATAACAAAAATAAGTAAGTGTGAGCATATTAGTCCCTTTTAATAAATTTTCTTTTTTTGGGAGGAGGCCTTGATTTTTTTCCTTCCACTTTCAGTCCCAACAGGAGTTCTTACTAACAACTTAATATGAAGACTTCCATTTTCCCTGCTCCCATAATCATATACAAACTTTAGAAATGAAATTTTAAACAGATTCTTCATCTTGCTTTTCTTAACAATCCTTTATAGAAATCCCTCCAAGTCAGCTGGGGCCACACTAATGGCCACACGAGAGTCTACGATGTATAAGTATCTTAATTCATTCAACAACTCTCTACTGGTAGATATTCTCCTTATTTCCAGCAATTTCTCCTGTGAGCATTGGTATAAATATTCTGTACATTTAGCCTCTGAACTGGTATGCTCATTCCTTGAGGAAGTTGAGCTTCCCAGAAACTGGAGCGCCTCCATATCCACTGAACTCAGGAATTCCAGCACTTTATCATTGTATCCCAGTTGCAGAAAAAGATGTTGGTATGGTCCTACTTCCACCCTTTTAACCCAAGCCACTATCATCTCCTGTGGACACTGGAATGGCCTCTTAATTGGTCTCCACATTAGATTTCTGGTTCTATTACAACCCATCATGCAAACAGCAGTTACAAGAATCTTTTAAAAACAAATCTGATCATATCACTCCCCTACTTAAAACCTTTGGTGGCTCCTAATTATACTTAAGAATAAAAATCAAATTCTACCAGGTCTCTGAAAGCCAGGCATGTTCTAGCCCTGCCCCCATGCCCACCATACCCAGCCACCCTGACTTTCAATCCCTGCCAAGCCTTTCCTCCCCTAGAGCCTGTACACTTGCTATTCCCTCTGCTGGAATTCCCTAGATTTCCACATGCTCTCCTCAGAGAGGTCTCTAAAACCCGCTGTTACCTCCTTTCACAATGTCTCTTTCTTCCCAGCAGTTCCTTTGGATTTGCAGCAGTCTGATTTTGATCAGCAGCAGTCTGATTTGCCTTTGTTTGTGTTTCTGGTCTCATGTGTGCCTGCCTTCTAGAATGCCAGCTCTGTGATGGCAGGCATGGAATCTCCCTTGTTCTTGGTTGAATCTGCCCCCACTAACATGGCATTTGGCATATGTGAGCGCTCTATAAATAAGTGGCAGAAAACTGCTCTCTTTCTAGTTCCTAAGGCACTATTGTGCCTTAGTTAACAACTGTCTGTTGTTGACTGACAGACTGGATAAATTTATATATGCTTGGATTCACATAGCCAATGCCGGGAAAAGTTCTTTCTGTTTATTACAACTTATTCCTCATTTTTCCTCTAGTGAACTGATGAGGGAGTGAGAGGGTAAGAGGAGACCTTTTTAGCTTTTACTTTCAGCTTTTTGTACACTTTGATTTTTTATAATGAGCATGTAATAAACCAATAATAAATATTTTCTTAAATTGTTAACATTTCAAAAGACTTTCTGAAATTAGCTCTAGAGCTTATCCTATTAGCAAAAGTCTTAATGAGTTAACTAGAAATTCTCTTGCTTTTGCTAAGTCGTGACATTTGCTTAATAAAGTAAGTAAAAATTCTAAAAAACAGATGAACAAACAAAAACTTTCTACCAGGTAGATTTAGCATCATATTGAGCCTTCAATAGGATACACAGCAAGCAAGTCAGCAGAGCCTCCTGGTCCATGCCTCCTCCAACCCCCCAAAACACTATATGCCATGGGCTCTTGAAAATTTTCCCATGACCTTCAGAAGCCTCCCTTTGGCATCTTAGAATCTTACTCTTATTTATTTCTTGACACATGAAGTTTCCCTCTTCCTTTCTTTTCCTTCAAAATAGAAATGTCTTTAAAATGCTGGCTTATTCAAAAGAAACACATGTTTATTGTATAGAATTTAAATAATACAAGCTAAAAATGGAAGTCTCAATCTAACCATCCTCTATAGATATACTACCCTTTTTAATAATTTACTGTTTAATATTTATAGGAAATAAATATGTAATGGAAAATAGTAAATACATATTCTTATAATTATGTGTGTGTGTATATAATATGTATGACATTATATCATATATAATATGATAATGCTAGACAAAATGTTTTCTAATACTACTTTGTTTTACTTAATATATCATGGGCAAATTTCCATATATGCTTATTCATTTAAATAACTATAATAGGTTCTTTGTATAGATATATCATAATTTAAACAATCTCCTATTCACGAGTATTTGGGCTTTGTAATATTTCACTTTTATAAACAACACTGCAATATACTTGCATCTTTGTACTTTGCCTACTCACTTCTTTGAGATAATTTCCTTCAGGTAAAATGTTTGGCAACAAGGGAAATATATTTTATGAGAACAAATATCCACTAAAAGACATGAACAAAAATATCTATAAAAACTGAAAACAACCTAAATATCCACCAATAGAATAGGTAAATTTTAGTGTATTCCTACAAAGAAATACCACTTGCAATGAAAGAATAAACTACTGTTACATGCAACAACATGGATAAATCTGACAATAATGAGTGAAAGAAGTCAAATGCAAAAGAATATATACCATACAATTCCAAGAACTGGCAATGCTAATCTATTTTGGTAGATGTCAGAGTAGTGGGACTCTCTGTAGTAGTGGGACTTGGAGAGGGGACTATCAACTAGGAGGCTGGGAAAAGGGAGCCTTTTGGGGTACTGAAACTGTTCTATATCTTCATCTAGATGATGGACTCATGGGTAGATAGCTTTAAAACAATTAGGGTGTGCCCTTAAAATGTGCATACTTTACTGCAGGTATGTCAGACTTAAATTTACAAAGCAGAGGTAAACATATTTTAAAAATGTATCTATCTCTTGTCAGATCTTCTTTCAAAAGATCACTTTACAACTGTTGGAGATAACTTTTTTTTTAACCCTAGTACCTGAAATAAGTTCTATTTTCTGAGGCCCAGAAATGGTCCTTCTGTATGTACTGCCTCACCCCCTCGCTCCCACAACCCCTGCCAAAAAAAGAGCTATTCATTGACTCCAAAGCCTGGAATAATTTTCTTTCCAGACTCTTTTAGCCTATTTTTGTCTTCAGTCTCCCTAAAATTACCATTATTTTCCTGGACTACAGAAACTTGAGTTTATGGATCATAAGCCTCAAACAAAGTCATCTAAAGATCAAAAAGATGGGCCAGGTGCAGTAGCACATGCCTGTAATCCCAGCACTTTGGGAGGCTGAGGTGGGCAGGTCACCTGAGGTCAGCAGATCACCTGAGGTCAGGAGTTCAAGACCAACCTAGTGAAATCCCATCTCTACTAAAAATACAAAATTTAGTCAGGTGTGGTGGCAGCCACCTGTAATCCCAGCTACTTGGGAGGCTGAGGCAGGAGAATCGCTTGAACCTGGGAGGCGGAGGTTGCATGTCCCTATGGGTACATATGGGAACCACTGAATTGTGCCATTGCACTCCAGCCTGGGTGACAGAATGAGACTCTGTCTCAAAAAAAAAAAAAAAAAAAGATAAATAAAGGTCAAAAAGATGATATTTCAGCTTGGGAAAGAAGCCATCAGTCACTTCCAAAACACAAAATATATAAATAATTTTAAGAAAGACATTAAGGTACCTGAAGTTCTTAACTCAGTAATA